GAAATGTTGTTATGTTTCATCGGGTACTTTCGGGCTCTTGTTGTGTCGTCATCATGAGCTTAATGCAGGTTTCTTTCGGGGGGATTCGCGAATAGGGAAGCTGTTGCCGGTCGTCACTCATTTAGTTTCTCGTTTCCTGTACTTGTACTTGTTTCTCTCGATAGAATTATGGGAATCAGTTTTCTTGTGGTAAAAGCCTCATATTCCCGGATATGACTAGTGTTCAGTGTGGTTATAATCCCGCGTTCTTGGCCAGCCGCAAGGTTGTACTCTTGGCCGTGCCTAAATGGACTGCATACCGCCACGTTAGCAAACGACGGGCGGAGTCAAGGCGTGGGGATAACTGACCTCTGAACCTGTCAACTACCTACGACACAGTCTCTACGCAGCTTCTGCCAACCTTCAGACCGCAACCTCATCATTTGGTCGAATAGTCGCAAATATGAAAACTAACACAGCACCCTCTTCGGTTGAGATCGACCCCTCTCCGCTTGGCGTTCCGCTAGACTTCGAGTTCTCGGGCCGCACAGCGCCAAACCGCTTCCTGAAAGCAGCCGCCACCGAAAAGGTAGCCATCTATGACCCGGACGACAAGCTTTCCAGCGGTATTCCCCATGACGAGCTCTTCCATCTGTACCGCACCTGGGCCTCCGGCGGTTTCGGTACAATCGTAACCGGAAACATCCTCATCGACCCCGATCACCTCGAAGCCCCTGGCAACATGATCATTCCTATTGACGCACCCCTCGATGGCCCTCGTTTTGAAGGCTTCCGTCATCTGGGCTCCGTCGGTAAACAGCATGGCTCCCTCTTCATCGGTCAGATCAACCACCCCGGCCGCCAATGCCTCTTCGCCATGCAGCCCAATCCCATCTCCGCCTCAGACGTCCAGCTAATTGTTGATATGTTTGGCACAAGCTTCGGTAAACCTCGAGCCGCCACCGTTGAGGAGATCCAGTCGATCGTCGCATCCTTCGTCCACGCAGCAGTCTACCTCGACAAAGCAGGCTGGGACGGCGTCCAACTCCACGCTGCCCATGGGTACCTCCTCGCGCAGTTCTTGTCTCTAACCACCAACCTTCGCACTGACTCCTACGGCGGCTCCATCGCCAACCGCGCCAGGATCATCACCGAGATCGCCTCTGGCATCAGAGCCCAGTGCCGGAAGGATTTCATTCTTTCCATCAAGATCAACAGCGTTGAGTTCCAAGCCAACGGATTGACTGTGGAGGAGGCATCAGAGTTGTGCGAGTTACTGGAGGAGGCAAGCTTTGACTTTGTAGAGCTGAGCGGCGGGACCTATGAGGAGATGGCGCTCATGCACAGGCGGGAGTCGACCAAGGCGAGAGAGGCGTTCTTTTTGGACTTTGCGGAGAAGATTGCGCCAAGGTTGAGCAAGACGAAGGTGTATGTGACTGGAGGTTTCAGGACGGCGAAGGGGATGGTGGATGCGCTGCAAAGCGTGGACGGAGTTGGGTTGGTCAGGGCGGTTTGCAATGATCACGGGCTTCCGGGGGCGATATTGGAGGGCAGGAAGAACGCCGCTCCGGTGATTACAGGGGGGGTATATTTTGACGATTTCGTTCTAACGGCCACTTTGGCGGCACTGCAGATGCGGTTGATGGGGAATGGGCTGCCGGTGCTGGATGTAGAGGATGACGGGGAGGTTGAAGAGCTCAAGAAGGCTCTGGAGGCGAATATGAAGTCGATTGTGAAAGGTGGACTATATGAAAGTATGGATCTGGGGTTTTTGAAGGCGAGAGCGGGGCGAAGTATTGATAAATGAGAATATGTCGTGAGGCCCCCGGCTTCATCCCCCACTGTCCCCGGTGGAGCGAGGCGCTCTCTTCACGTCCACTAGGATTTCCTTCAATTTTGGGCTGAGAAATGGTGTAGTGTTTATAGTCGTGGTCAAAGCCGAGAAAGATGGCAATTAATCCTATTAGACCTTGATGAGATAGTTTTGACTGTAGTGAGTTCGTCAACTGGAAACTAATATCACTGTTTGCATCGCATGAGGCTCAAGCTCCACTTTTATTGCCAGCATAACGCGTCTTGCAACGCGACCCTCATCCCACATGGCCAAGCTAGCGATCCAGAATACACCCGCTGCATACTTCCGGCCAAAACACATTGGCTGTTCCTACGGCCAACTCTTTCTCTCGCATTGAGCATGCGAGCCCAATTCACTTGCTCGCCTTCCCTGCAGTTCAGTTCCCGTTTTTCTTGTCCTGCCGAGCCATCGAACCTAGCTGCCCGATGACATTTATCAGATAACGCGATGCAAGAGTCCTGGTGTCAGCATGATGGACCAAGAATACCGCGTCTTCAGTTACAGCTGGACGGACCCAGAGAATTCGGCAGAAGAAATTTTAAAAATGATGTCCTCTGCCTCAGAAATTGTCATTAAACTTGCGGCAGGTGTTTTAAAGGTGCTGCATGCCGTGTATGGAGTCGATATGCTCATAAATGAGACAGATTATCTTGTTCGGGAGGGACTGTAGGGACTAACTAGATGTGGGTGGTGTCAGAACAAAATCGTGGCCGACTGCGGGTTTGGGCGCTTATGAATTTGGCGCTTTGGCTATTTATGGATCCTGAAGGTGCTCTGTAGTGAAAGTGGTCGAGAAATCATGACAGTTGCTCCTCACCTGTCCGCATTGCTGCTCATACTTGTTATCCATGCCTCCAGTGTCCCTCCTGCTCGCGCTGCCGAACTTGGAGCCACAAGCTAATTTTCACGCCGCTCAGCCAGCCTGACGACACATGTGACTTTTATATGCCACTGACGATGATTGCGACTGTCTTTTGCCTTCTCACCTTGCAGATTATGCCAGATAACTCAGTAGTTTGACGTCCAAGATCAACATGCCAAATATTGCTGTGATATAAAATTCAATTTCTCTCCAAGTACTTAACAGCAGCTCCCTTGTGTTTACCATCTCTCTAGATACTTTTGCTGGGTTCAAGAACGAGCCCTGTGCTGGTGATCTCTGATCCTCAACGCCGGCACCAGTGTGAATAAGACGTGAGTGAACGTGCTTTAGGAAGTTCTATGCATTCATCTAGTATATAATCATGCGGCAGATCAAAGTAGAAAAGAGCGCTGGCAAGAGTATGGTGCAATGTTGATGTTTTGCAAAGTTATCTAGTCGAGAAGCAAATACATATGCTGCTCTATCATTGACTGACGACAGATCGCCGCTAGATATAACCATTACTCAGTCATTGCCTTTCCCACTACCAGCTGGATTCTTGTCATCGCCCCTGAAGTCCTACCAATCACCTAGGTCATCATCCTCGTTATCTGAAGGTTTCCACTCGCTACCCGAGGTTTCCTTCTCGCTGTCTTAATCCTCCTCTCCATTTTTTAACGTTCCCTCCTCAACCTGGGACGTTTCCCCCAGCCACAGAGAACAGTAATCCTCATCAGAGGTGGCATTGCTATCGTAGCCATGTTCAGTATCCCAACCCAATGCACTACCTTCAGACTCGCCATCATAGAGGTATTCCATGGGGTCAATATCCGAGTCCAATCCGACCTGGTTACATCCAGTTCTGAGTGTGCCTGGAAGGGCAAAGCATATGTTGGAGGGTACAGTAGACCCTAACCCTCCGCATGATTATGTCATCCCAGCACTCTCCACAAGTGCGACTGCAGAGACTTCTCCTAGAGAAGACAACAATCAAGATGAGATCAACCCAGTCGTTGCTTTGGCGCCCCAACAGCATACTTGTCGCTGGCTTTACGGTATCGGTGATTCCTGCCATTTCGGTCCTTTCCCGGGAGGTAATTGTGGTCGCATCTGGGGAAGAGGACACTTTGGTGATGGCATCTCCGGCGATGAGCCTGCAATCGCACAGATACTGGACGAGGCAGGTTGATTTGCGCATCATTTCGCCCAGTTGATCTGCAGCAATGGGAATCACTGCGCGCATCTGCCGCCAAGCAGAGCGCTGCGCACAGCCGTGAGACAAAGACATTTATGTGGTCAATCTGTGTTGTTCCCACTCTTCGAAAGAATCCAGGAGTCCAAGTGGCCGACCAATTTCGGAACTGTCCTCTTCAACGTCATCCATTGTGGTGTTTCTGATCGCAATTAACTCCTCCAAGGGGACGAACCAATCGTCCTCTCGAAATATCACTCATTCCGTGGGCGCCCAGACGTTGCAAAGGAATTGTTGACGGTAGAATTCTCCGAGGACGCGCAGTCTCTCGGTCGAAGATGGCCGGATACAGGCTGCTTCTATCTGCAATCTGTGATTTCTTGTGATTGCAGTAGTGAACCCGTCGCGGAATTCACGAAAGCGGGTGTTGATGTAGAGACTAGTCAGGAACTTCATGGTGCGGAATTCGGTATACACTCCTACATCCTCATCGGGCTTTCCATAAACGAGCGAGAAGGGGGTTTTCGAGTTTTCATTTATGAAACACGAGTGGTCGCAGGTCAAGAAGCTCATTTTGCCCCACGATTCAAACCGGCCGTCATGTTCGTAAACATGCTCTGAGTTGTAACCGTGGCGAAAGAGGAACATGGCGGCGGAGGCTAGTGTGGACCGAGATAGTTTTGCATTGCGCGTACTAAGCAGTGGTGTTTTCGGCTCAAGAAATTCTCGTAAAGCACGCGACAGGTGGTGGCAAGATTCGCCAGGTTGCGTACCGAGTCCAGGTACGGCGTGGGAGCTCTCGAGCTACCACAGGTCTATTGCACCATGTCTTGTCTAGATGCCAGCTTCTTCCAAGCCCGTCCACAGGTAGATGTCGGCTGGAGGTTCAACGGCCATCGGCGCTGTGGGGGGTCAGGGTCTTCTGCCTAAACCATTAAAAACATGTGAAAATACTGCAAAGTTAGTTGATGACTTGCCGCTAAGAGCCCTTTTACCATAACACAATGAAGCACAAAATAAGACGAAACCAAAGTAAAAAAGAAGATCATGCTCGTAATCTCCGCACCAGGTTATTCAACAAGCACTCTTGGAAGTAAGATGAGGCAAAACAATGATCAGAGTGGGATTCGAACCCACGCCTCTTGCGAGACCAGGAAGTTGAAATGATTTCAAGCGGGAATTCAGGTGTACCTGAACCTGGCGCCTTAGACCGCTCGGCCATCTGACCTTAATGCGTGTTAAGATGAAATCCTTATTCTTTATTTACCTTCAACAGCCAGTTTGTAATTACCTATCCCCTGACCTGATGCTGTTGTGTTGTTCCATTGCGCAGAACAGATCTAGACCCTAGAGACTGGCGTCCACGAAGACAAGCCGACGCCACAATGTCAGGGGTATCTGTCGGTGACGAGTTCGATTGGTGCAGCGGCGATGCAAGCTTTCAATAGCCGAGTGAATTGCCTGCAATCCTTCTTCAGCCGCTCATCATGTTAACCGCTTTAGGAGGCCCAAGGTTGCCGCATTGATGCCTTATGAGATTGACCCCTCATTGAGGGCAAGTTGAAAGAAGACATCATTCTTCATCACCTTCTATCTTGAGACTCTGCATCATCATCAAAGAGGGTTGAAAACATGGCATACCAGCAGCCGCAATACGCTTACCCTCCACAGGGTGGCGCTGGCAACAGCTACCAAGGACCACCCCCTGTTGCGCCAGCCTATGGACAACAGCAACAGCCAACCTATGGATATCCCCAGGCTCCAGCACAGAACGGATACCAACAACCGTACCAACAACAGCAAGCTCATCATCAGCAATCGTGGCAGCCACAAGCTCAATCCCTCCAACATCCAGCCTACCTGCCTCAAACCCCAGCCCAAAGCCATTCACAAGCCTCATATCAAGTTCAACAACCATCTTACCCACCTCAGCAACCCGCTTACTCTCCACCTCCATCCCAATATCAAGCCTCTCAGCCTCAGTATCATGTCCAACAGCACCAGCAGCCACAATACCAGCCTCAATTCCAGCCCCAGCAACTCCACCAACCACCATACACCCCGCAGCACCAACCCCAACAATATTACCAGACCCAAGCCCAACCTCAACTCCAAACTCAACAACCTCAAAGCCAATTCCCCCCCGGAACCTACCCCCTCCTCACCCTCCCCGGCCACCCCCCTTCAAAACCGACCAAACTCCCCTTCTCCCTTACCCTCTCTTCCTTCTCCCCACCTTCCCAACCCCTCTACACCTTAACCTACAACCCCACCACCTCCTCCCTCTCCCTCTTCCGCGGTCCCCCCTCCCATTCTACTACCTCCCCACCCATAGCAATAGCCTCCTTTCCCTCCCTCTCCCTCAGCAAATCCCCCGCGTCCCTCGGCCCGTACAACTACCAGATCGACAGCAAGTTCGTCTCCTTTTCTATCCTGCCAGGCCAGAGCCTAAAGTGGACGCTCGTCTCATCCGGCGCCTCGGCCGGGGCCTTTATCTTAACTCCCGAGGGTAGGAAAGAGGATGTGGTTGCGAAGTTTGTGGGGATGGACGCAGCGGGCAAGCTTGCCGTTCCTGGCGGCACCAAGAAGTACATGGAGGGAAAGCTTGAGCTCTTGAAGGGGGTGACGCAGGCCCAGATGGACGAGGTATTTTTGACTTTGGCAGTGGAGCTGGAGAGGAAGAGGAGGCAGGCAGGGGGCGCGAAGACGGCTGAGGGGACGTGGTGGGGGTCGCAGATTCTGAGTGGGGTTTTGAGTGCCTGATTACGGTACGGTGATTTATAACGACGTATGGGAAGGGCGAGGAACGCGGGGGCTCTTGTCGAGCGGTGGGATCTTGTTTAGGAAGTTATCCTTTCTGTTAGAAATCATGACAGTACAACTGAATCGATAATATGAAGTCTTCTATACCAGAACTCCTGGCTGCTGGAACTCACAATTCTGTCGTAGAAGCTTCTGTGGCGAGTCACATTCACCGAGCACACTCCGGCTTAAAACAGCCACCTGTCAAACTTGCCAATGCGCCTGAACCTGTGAACTACTGCAATCAGTGTTTACTCTTTTGGGCTCGGAATCAATACTATCTGTGTCGTTATCTATGTCTCGGAATCGTGGAGCAACTTGCTGTTGTAGAACAGTTCAATCCCGCTTCGTGTCGGATGCAATCCCTCTAGAATTATGAGATCAGCAGTTGCCTGACATAAAACAATGGTTGTCTCTAGCATAATGACGAGACAGTAGCCCTCCCCCTCTTCGACATCCTTTGGGTCCCGACACACACCACAATTGCATAATCGCTGTATTGAGGCAAACTTCTCTTCATAGCCATCCTTGGCTTTCTGAAAACTTACGTGGGATGCCCTCTCCACGGCCGATTTCAGAGGTGAAAGTTCCGGTAGCCAACTGAGACTATGCTGGGCAAGCCCCTGTCCGTTAGTAGCATCGAAATAGGCTCTGCAATCCCTCATATACCTTGCTTGCAAGCCCGGCTCAGCTTCTGTGACAAGAGCTGCTGATGACAGGGCTTGGAAAAGTAGCTCTATTCAACTAATAATTTGAACGTCCTTGATGAAGAAGGAAGAAGGCTTAGGAGTACGATCTGGTGTTTCCAAACACTTATTTATCCAGCTGTCAGTGGCCCGTGCCATGATGGCCTCGGGCCATTGACAAAATGCTATGTATCTTCCAAGCTCAATATTCAGGACATCATCATCGACCTGTACGGTCTCGCCTTTCTGGAATCCATCGACCTGGGCCTGAACTAGTCCACGTTCGCTCACCCGGCCATCTCGGAATGGCTCAAGCTCCGCATCGAGCCACGGCACCGGATTGTGTCCAGCATCTAGAGACTATACGGGCCGGATACAGAGGTCTTTATTCTGGGATATTAGGTGCACTCCCATCTGTCGTGTTGGCCTAATCAGTGGGAAACACCTCCAAAATAACGCTTCAGGGGGCCATCAGAGATGAAAGTCGAAAGCAGTTTTGACACCAAAGTCGAAACACTTGATCCCCGTTTCCTACGCCTATGTTGGTGGGGCAATTTCCATTTGTTTTCGTCAGTCTCTTCGTGCTGGACTAACGCAGACCAAAGACTACACCCCAGCTGGCTTCGTTACCAGATATCAAGATATATTCGCCAGAAGACCGGATCTCAAGCACTGGTCCTTCCAGATTTTACAGTTCGTTGGAGATGCAGAGTCCCAGTTTAAGTTACTTCGCTTGATGTGGACGAACGCTAAATTCCGATTTTGATGGCAGGCACTGGAGAGTGACGAAAGGTCCCAACTTTGACTGGCCTCTTGCAGTTTGCGACTTCAGGACCATCAACGTTGACTGAGACGTCGACGAAGGAGATGTGGTGCATCGCGAATACGTAGGGGAGCATAGCCTGCTCTATGATCATCCAGACCACCGGTGGTACTACCTCGACGGCCAGACCAAGGATGATGTTATCGTCTTCTGCCATTCGGATTCCAGGGGCTATTACTCGGCTGCTTGTAATCTTTCATGGGAACTTGTGTCAGCATGGACGACCAATAACCAACATACTCTAGTTTCACCACATGCTTCGTTTGATAGGGCTGGAGGAGTGGTCGACGTTGCTGGACGAGAGAGCATTGAGGTTACGGTCGCTTGTTTCTTGCCTGAGCCAGAGGCATAGCTGCATATGTGTTGTGGACATCTTTCCGGGGCCTTGAAGGGGGTCGGAGTTATCTTCCTCGAGAACGCAGTCGCTGGGGGTCAGTCTTTTAAGACAGATGAGGCACCTAGGTACAGAAGCTCTTATTCTGTCCCACAAGCAACAATACCATCACCGTTTCTCCACTACGCAACACTACCTACCCAGGTTCCTAATGTTTGATTAGTTCATGCACTTCCGCCCTCTTCCGAGCCCGGAGCAGGGATGGGCGGCGGCTGCGTGCAGTATGTGACCACGGCTGTGCACGCCATACTGTAACATGGACGGATTCTCGTAGGTTTCTGCGTAGCAGATCTTCATTGAAGCGAAACTTCAATTCTGGAGGTTGGTGATGTGCTGTGCACACTTACCCCTCTCAGGAGTGGTGAGGCTGGATTAACACTAACGCTGGGAACACGTCTCCTGCGAGTGCTTCGCAGGCTTGTACGGTGGCTGCTTCGACGGCGAGTGATGCTAGGGCGAACAGTTCCAACTATGGGCCGGTGATTGATGTTTTTGCTTCCGGGGAGAGGATTGTAACGATTTGGGTTAATAGGTGGGATTTGTTTACTTTTGCTTGATGGGAGTAAGGATGGGTGGAGGGGGGCCTGGAGAGGTAGCAAGGAGGATGGTAGGTATATGTCTTTCTTTGCTAACCTACCTTGTGTATTTCTAGGAGAGAGATGTGATAGCTGGTCTTTTCTGATGTAGCTACGTAGGCTAACTATGTACATATGAGATCCAAATCGATTCCAACTTCTCAGAACTACCAATATATCATGATTTTCTGACACCGCAAGCGCTCTGCCGACTTTCACTTATCACTGGCCCTGCGCTAGGCACTCAACCGCCTTCCGAATTATCCTTGGAGATGCAACCCGAATTATATCTATTTAGCGTTGAGAAAGCCGCGTCCGTTTTCAGTAGCCGTCATACTTACTCGTCCGGATGATGAAATCGTCACCTGGAGCCTCCTTTGCGGAGAAAAGTCATATCATCCCTCCCGAGGCACTTGATACCATGAAAAAAGACGAATGAACCCCAGTCAAACGAGCTAACCGTGTTTCTCGTGCTCACCACTCTTGAATTTTAGGGAGTTCTCGATTTCATCGGCTTCTATGCGGCGTAATCTTTCTCGCGAAAACGGTCGTGTCTTGGATTTAGGAAAATTCATTGTGATTGGTAATGAGAATCGCGTGAAAGGACTGGATTGAGCAAGGACTGATGTCTTAATGGTGTATAGCAGTCTTTCCGGTAACTTTGTCGTAGCAGCAGTTGGACGATGTCTGAATATCCCTTGCTTGCGGCCCAGTCGAGGGGTGTCCGGTAGTATTGGCTGTCCGTCGCCTCGATATCTGCGCCATTCTCAAGGAGCACTTTAACAACGGCCGCTTGCCCTGATTGAGCCGCTTTGTGAAGCGCCGTCCTACCATTGAATGATTTCGCTTCTATGTTAGCACCAGCTCGGAGCAATGTTCTGACAACCTCAACTTGGCCGCTATAAGAAGCCCAAAAGAGAGGTGTATATCCCAACTCTACAGTTGATT